TTATTTATTGTTTTTTGAGGCAGGGTGTCACCACGTAGTTCAGGCTGGCCTTGTATCATGTAGCCTGGGCTGGCCTCAAGTCAGGGCGATCCTCCTGCTTCAGCCTCCTCACTGCTGGGATCATAGGCATGTGCCACCATGCTCTGCTCAGAGTGGGAGCTTTGTGCGGGTTCCCGTTCTGGCTAATATTGTGGGCTCTGTCAGGGAAGGCACTCTAGGGCCAGTGAGATGGCCCAGAAAGTGAATTAAATCAGTAAAGAAGAGTTTGAAGCCAGGGTGAACCTGAGAAACCCAGGAAGGGGCTGGGGCCATCTTCATGGTACAAGGAACCCCTGAATGACATGTGCAGGTGGGGGGATGGAAAGGATGGGAGAGGAGCAGAGAAAAAGAAGGCATCCCAGAAGGGGAAGGCAAATAACAAAAGATACGAAAAGAGAGTTCCAGCCGGCCGTGGTCGCTGTGATCCCAGCACTGGGGCGGCTGAGGAAGGAGGAGCGCTGCGAGTGCAAGGTCAGCCTGGGCTACAAGTGAGCTCAAGGCTGGCCTGAACTGCCAGCAGAAACCTGTCTCAAAAAGGCAAAAAAAAGTCTGTGGACCCTGTGCAGTGTGACAGCCTCTGGATGTGGCTACTGATGCCGAATCGAAGTTGAACTGCACTGTGAGCATAAAATACGTGTCAGACCTTGCCCCCAAATATAAAACATCCTATCCGGTTTTTCTGGGGGGTGAGTGTGGTATTAAGGATTGAGCCCAGGGCCTTCCCACTGAGCTACATCCTCAGCCCCTTTTAAATTTTTTTATTTAAAAAATTTTTTAAAAATTTGTTTTAAATTTGTTTTTGTTTTGTCTTTTTGAGACAGGGTCTCGATGTGCAGTTCAGGTTGGCCTTGAGCTCACTTTGTAGCCCAGGCTGGTCTCGAACTCGCAAGGATCCTCCTGCCTCAGCTTCCCCAGTGCTGGGATTACAGGTGTGCACCACCACGCCCGGCTGTTTTAAATTTTAAGACAGGGTCTTGTTGAATTGTGGAGGCGGGGCTGGAATTTGTGATCCTCCTGCCTCAGCCTCCCAGAGTGCTGAGATTACAGATGTGCACCACTGCACTGGGAAGAACCAGAGGTTTTTCTAGAGAGAAGGAGCCGGAGCCTGCAGGGTCAACCCCTGGGAACCTGTGCTCTATGGGAGCAGCAGTCCCGCCCATCACATGACCAACCCTGGTCACCACTGATTGGTTCTGCTGTAGATACCGCACTGGAGCTGGCCCAATCAGATTCTTCCTAGTGGAGGTAGGCAACTGAACCGTTTCCCAGAGCCATTTGATTAACAGTGATTGCGAACCACCCCCACTATGGAGGTGGAAATTAAGGTCAGGAGCTTAACTGCCCACCCCAGGGTCCACCACAAGTAAGGGGTGTAGCACCCTCCAGGAATCCTGCACAAACTGCCTTGGAATTCACTGCTGTCCAGTGTCCCCAGGATACTGTCAGAACTCTTGGGCTGTGGAAGCCACCATAACACCCAGTTACAAGAGGACAGGGAGAAGAGCAGGCTGCCCAGCGAGAACACCCCTGTGGCCAGATGCATAGGAGCCCGTAGGGCGTGATTTTAACAACATCTGGGCGTCTCTGCCTCCCCCCCACTCCAAAGGAGGCTTCAAGTACACCCGGACTTAAGCATCTGGCACGGAGCCTACTGCATCCGAGACACCCAATAAATACTTGTCAAAGAAAGAATGGCTGGCTGAATGCATAATGTAAAAAAAAAAAAAGTCCAGTTCTGTGCTATATCCGCCACCTTAGACCTTGGGCAAAGAGGGTGCTGTTCTGACCCACCCCCCTTTTTAGCTTTTTGAAACATGGTCTTGCTATGTAGTTGAGGCTGGCCTGAAACTTGTGCTATCTTCCTGCCTCAGCCTCCCCAGTGCTACGATTACAGGTGTATCCCATTACATCCTGCTTGAGGCCCAGTTTTTTTCAGGACTTCCTCCAGAGAGAGAGAGGAATCTCTGGGGGCTAAAGGGGTGTCCCATCTGGAATCAACTTTTCCCTATGAAATTATGTCTGGGGACCTGTGGGCGCCCCTGTCCTAGATAGCTGCAACCTGCAAATACGTTACTTTCTGTAGCAGCACACTCAGCAGATGGACTAAGGGAGGGTCAGGATGAGCCACTGCCATGGTGACCGGAGGAGGGCGAGAGAGCGTCTGAGGAGATGTGTTGGTGGGGGGAGAAGGCAGAGCGACCTGGGCCGGGAGCCAAAGAATATGGCAGCGTGGGGAAGCTAGAAGAGGCAAGGGGTCGGCTCCTGGGAGAAGGACAAGGGGTCAGGCTCTGCTGTGGGAGGCTGAGAGAAAGGAGTCCCAGGGCTTCTTAACTGGAACGTGGCAGCCTTTCAGGGTGCTAAGAAGGTATATCTGAGCAGAGCACGGTGGTCATACCCGCAATCCCAGCACCCTGGGAGGCTGAGGCAAAACAATCTCAAGTTTGAGCTTAGCCTGGGCAGTTTAGATTTAGCAAGACCCTGTCTCAGAATAAGGAAAGGCAGGGGATGTAGCTCAGTGGGAAGGCCCTCGGTTCAATCCCCAGCGCCCCCCATAAACAAGAAAAGAAGGGGGCTGGGGATTTAGCTCAGTGGCAAAAGCGCCTGCCTGGCAAGCGCAAGGTCGTGAGTTCAGTTCCCGGTACCGGAGGAAACCGCCCCCCCAAAAAAAAATAAATAAAAATAACAGAACAAGAAAAGAAGGAGAAAGAAAAAGAGGAAGGTACAGTATTTGTCAAGGCGGTGGGGGGGGCATACATTGACCAGTTTGACAGTTTAATTTACAAAGTTTAAATACACATGGTGTGTGCGCCTGTGAGACTCCATGGTTTGTACTGGAGATTGAACCAGGGCCTTGACACTGAGCTACATCCCCAGCTCTTTTTTTTGTTTGTTTGTTTTTCCGGTATTGGGAATTGAACTCACAACTTGTGCTTGCTAGGCAGGCGCTGTGCTGTTGAGCTAGATCCCCAGCCCCTCCCCAGCTCTTTTTATTTTTTATTTTATTTTATTTTTGTCTTTTTTTTTGAGACAGGGTCTCACCGTGCAGTGCAGGCTGAACTTGAGCTCACTTTGTAGCCCAGGCTGGCCTCGAACTCACAACGATCCTCCTGCCTCAGCCTCCCCAGTGCTGGGATTACTGGCGTGTGCCACCACGTCCGGCTCCCAGCTCTTTTTAATTTTTAACGTTTATTTTGAAACAGAGTCTCACTAAGTTGCTAAGTCACCCAGACCACACTCAAACTTGGGATCCTCCTGCCTCCACGGTCCTTTTGCCCCACACCCTGCCAAGGTTGGCAGTGCACTCCTCCAGAGCCTCATTTAACAAAGGTCTGTGACCCAGCCCGTGACCACGTCGTGTTAATGGTGCTTTTGCGGAGAGGGTGAAGAAGAAAGAGGTAAACCCAAGAAAGGTTGGGGGCGCGCAGAGAGCACAGCACTGCTGCAGGTGCCCGATGAGAAAGTGCCAGAAACAAGAAGCTCGCGGGCTCGCATGGGGGAGACACAGAGACCCCCGCGTGGTGCCCAAATCCTTCACTCGCCTCCTTTGCCCCTTTCCATAACAGAGGCTGAAGGCTAATGTGACCGACTTCAGTGCCCTCTGCAGCTAGGAGTGGTCATCTGAGAGGCGCTGAGAAACAGCCAGACCCCTGCCAGGACAAAACCCTCTATTCTTTCATCCTTCTTCCTTGCCTGGCATTAGGATGTGCTCCACGGAGGGGCAGCAGCCTTCTTGTGACCATGAAGCAGCCGAAATGAGCATGAAGATCTGGGGCTGTGAGCTTGGTAGAGTTCACATTGTTAGTGGTGTCTCTGAGCTACCATGCCAGCTCTGGGCTTACTGTAAGAGGTGAACCTCTGTCTGTTTAAGCTCTAAGCAATCCGAGAAATGTTCCTATTTTGTTGCTGATGGTTATCATCCAGTGCAGGGAACATACCTGGCACAGAGTTGATGCTCTTTTAAAAAAAAAGTTTAACTGCACAGATGATTTTTCCATTTCCATAAAGCCTACCTGGGCTTTTTGCAGTTGGTTCTGAGACTCACATGTACCCTTGTGCTAACCCACCCACCTTCCTCCAGACAGATTCACCAGGTTCCTTTTCGTACAGTCCAACAATTAAAACCAAGCTGGGGGCAGTGACAGGCACCCAGGAAGGACTGGCTATGAGGGGTGTCAGGGAATGGGCCTTGGGGAGGTTGAGATGACACGTGGCCTCCATGCCCACCTTCCTGCTGCGGCCCAGTCAACCAAGCCCAAGCCCACCCCAGGCCCTTTGCACATCCTCTCCCCTCTGTACTGTAGGGACGGAATTTGACTAAGATTTAGGAAACTAATGTAAGAAAACATATGAGGGGCTGGGGATTTAGCTCAGTGGCACAGCACCTGCCTGGCAAGTGCGACATCGTGAGTTTGATTCCTGGTACCGGGGGGAAAAAAAAAACCGAAAACATCTGACCCCAGTATCGATATTAATGAGTTGGGGTCCATTGCTGATAATATCAGCAAATACTTACTGTGTGCCTGGCATTATTTTTTGTGGTCTAACTAATTTCATTCTTTTTTTTTTTTCTTTTTTTGGTACTGGGAATCAAACTCAGGACCTTGCGCTTGCCAGGCAGGCGCTGTGCTGCTGAGCTATGTCCCTGGCCCTACTAATTTCATTCTTATAATGACCTGATGATCAGGATAACGGGCGTTACCTCCATAGTACAGAGAAGGAGGCAGAGGTTCAGGGAAGTGGAGTCCCTTCCACAAAGTGACAAAGCCACAAAAGGGGCAGAGCCAGGATTTGAGCCCGGGCAGTGCAGTCCCAAATGTGTAACTCCTGGACCCTGGGAACACCATAGGACCCCACTTGTCAGAGACCTCCGTGACCCCCACCCTCGGCTGACCCGCCAGGGCTGACCTCTGTGACCCCAGCATGCCCTCCCCTCCCCGCGCCCTGCCCGAGTCTGCGCTGACCCTGCCTTGAGCTGAGTGAGCGCCTCCTCCACGCGGGGCTGGTTGTAGCGCACCATATAGCTGTGCATGTCAGGGTAGTTGCTGCGGATGTTCTTCTCCGTGGACCCGTTGGGCACTGTCCCAAACTTCAGGGGCGGGTACTGCTCCTGGGGCCGCTGGAACTGGGGCAGAAGGCAGAGTTATTAAGGCGTCTCCTCCAGACTCCAATGCCCCATTCTGGGGGATACCTACCAACCGACAGACACCCCAGGCTCAGAAGTGTTTCCCAGATCCACTCACTGCAGCAGGAAACACATTTCTTTGTCTTTTCTTTTTTGTTTTTTTGAGACAGCGTCTCCCTATGCAGTTCAGGCTGGCTTTTAACTCACTAGGTAGGCCAGGCTGGCCTCGAACTCATGGCGATCCTCCTGCCTCAGCCTCCTAGGTGCTGGGATTACAGGTATGTCTACTTCTACCTCCCAGCATGCATGGCTGCAGACAGGTTATCAGAGGCCCAGCCTCAGGAGGGGAGAAGCCAGGAGCTCCTGGGGCTCCGATGTGCCAGGCGTTAACCCACAGCAGAGGTAGAGGCAGCTGGTGTTTACCAATCAGCAGTAGTTGACTTTTTGTTTTTCTTTTTGAGACAGGGTCTTGCTATCAACACCATCTATTTCTATACTATTCTGTTCCATTCTGTTGGAAAAATGCTTATTGCAATCCACTGAATTGGTTTCTCAACCCTCTAACAGGTCCGGACTGTGGTGAACCACTCCGGTCTCGGTGTGCTCCACTGGTCCTTGAACACATTGTGAGCACCAGGAGGCAAGCGCAGAAATCAAGAGATTTAGCATCTGGATCCATGCGACAGGTTAGTTTTACATCTGTTGAATCCAGTAAATAAAAATATGGGGTTGAGGGGCCGGGGATATAGCTCAGCGGCACAGCGCCTGCCTGGCAAGTGCAAGGTCCTGAGTTTGATTCCTGGTACCAGAAAAAAAAGGGGTGGGGGTGGGGGTTGGCTTTTGTATGTCTTGGTTTTAAATTTTATTTAACTTCTGTAGTAATTCATTGCACTTGTATTTTACTAAAACTCTAGTCTTTGATGAATTAGAAGTTTCACAATCTAATCCTTTGAGCCCAGCATGGTGATACATGCCTGTAGTCTCAGGAGTCTAGGAGGCTGAGGCAGGAGGATGGCAAGTTTGAACCCAGGCTGGGAAACTTAGTAATTTAGTGAAATCTTGTCCCCAAATTTAAAATTTTTAAAAAGGGTTGGAAGATGCAGCTCAGTGCAAAGGCCCTGAGTCTAAATCTCAGTACCGGTAAATAAACGACCACCCAGTCTTACTGTTTGAGAGCCACCCTAGTCTAGAATATCCTGTGAGTATTTTAAAAATTCATTGTGAAACACAGCTTCCTTCCAGAACATTCCAGTCTACCATTCTGAAATTCCTCTTGGGAAGTACCTGAGGAATCCCCCTCTGGTCGGCCACGCGCCAAGCTCTGTGCTCCAACCACAGCCACTGCCTCCCCCGCCACACACCTTGCGGTCACTGAGCCCAGACACGGTGTCCACGTACTCCTCCTGGATCATGAAGGCAGCCAGGTTGGCTGTGTAGCTGGCAAGGAAGATGACGGCGAAGAAGGCCCACACCAGCACCATGATTTTGCTGGTGGTTCCCCGGGGGTTCTCCACAGGCACCGAGTTATTGAACACCAGGGCCCAGAGCAGCCAGATGGATTTCCCAATGGTGAATGTTGAGCCGCCAGGGCCTGCAGGGGGCCAGGACAGGACATGGATCCCAAATCCCTTCTGCTCATTGAGGGAGCAGAAAGAACTACAGCTCCCAGTGGCCCTTGGGGCTGTGGCTCTGCCCCCAAAGGCTGCTGGGAAATGTAGTTCCGTGTGCTGTCAGGGCTCTGTGCGGTGGGGTGAAGGGGGAAAGGGACTCACGCTTGCCCGTGGCCAGGCTGCGGTTGTAGCCCACGGGACTGAGGTACTCGAAGATGAAAACGGTGACAGCAACCACGGTGAGGCACATGACAAACATCATCACCCACACAGCGGGGCTGTAGGGCTCTAGAGACAAGGGAGGTAGCGTCATGGCTCAGCCAAGCAGAGGACCAGGGGACACAAAGACATGCGAAGGAAGTTCAGCCAGACACGATCCCGTCCTGGTTCCCAGTCTTGGGGGCAGCCCTGTGACCTCCACAGAAGCCTGAGAGGCGGTCTCTCTCAGAGCCACCCCACCCATTTCCGCGGTGTTTTGTTTGTTCTGTTTTTGAGACACAGTCTCTCTGTGTAGTCCTGGCTGGACTTGAACTCACTGTGTAACCCAGGCTGGTTTTGATACACATGGCAGTCCTCCTGCCTCAGCCTCCAGAGGACTGGGATTGCAGTCCACATCACCCATCCGGCCCCATTTCTGTGGTTGTAACACCCAATCCCAGCTATTTCCTAACTGTTATTTGGGGTCAGACTCGGCCCTCCAGCCCACTTATCACATCCTACACTGCCTCAGGCCAGCTCCCGGGCTCCTGTATCAGGAGCTCGCACCCGTCCTGTCCCGGGCCACCCCCACCCCTTTGCTACCCCCCTTGGGTCCGTTGCCATAGCGGGCACACTTCTCTCTTGGAGGGGCCATCTGGCTTCCAGGGCTGCAGCTCCAGCCCAACCCCACATGGCTGAGAGGTGACCCAGCGCCCCCGCCCCCAGCCCCCCCAATGGTTCCCCAGCCGCTCCCGGACAAAGTCCCTGCCCCTCAGCCTTATGCCCTGCTCCTTTCCTGGCCACATCACTGTCACCGGGCTACTCTGTAACTACCATCGAGCCACACCCTCCCGGCCTCATCTCCTTGACTCCCCTGCCAGAGATGCCACCTGCCCGGTCCAGCAGACAGTGCCCCATTCACGTCGCCTCCGGGAGCTCAGAGATTCCACCGGAATCACGCAGGCCAGGACCGTCCCTGTCACGGCAAGGTCACTGCCCCGGACTGTCGCTGCAGCTTCTGCTGGCTAACTTGGCAAGGCACCCGCCCCTATCACCCGCCCTGTCACCGCCTGCTCTGTGCTGCCTGGAGGAAGGGGCCCAACGTGGTGCTTCTCCGTGTGCCTTGCCGGGTGCAGTGCAAGGAAAAATACACAGGCCAGAGACGCAGGCTGGAGGCACAGAAAATAAAATGCACCGGAAGGGGCGCCTCTCCTTCCGGCTCCTCCCACTCCCGGTAGCTTTGGTGAAGTGGACCATCGCCCTGGGCCCTGGGCACACCTCTCCCGACTTCTCCAGCTCAGGAGATGGGATTTCTACCCAACCCTCCGCAGAGCCACCACCCCTCCGGGGCCAGCTTCCTACCCACACCCTGGGTCCGTCTACTGCTCTCACCCGTTCCCACCTTCCTACTGCACACATCCTTTCTCTGGCACGGACCTTGGAGTAGCCTCATCGCCAGCCTCCTGCTCCCGCAGTACCTGAGATGGGACCTTGCTCCCCGACACGGCCTTAGAGAGTTATCGCCTTTGCCACCGCAGTAAGAGCAAAACCCAAACTTCTTCTGGTAGCATCCGAGGTCCTGCAAGCTCTGCCTATTGGCTCTCAGCCTGTGCCTTCTGCTTCCTCTGGTGCCTGTCCTCTCCATCTTTTCACCCTGACTTCCTTTCTCACAGTATCCATCACTAGTGGAATGGCCTGTTTAAGTTTCCTTCTATCTTCCCCAGGAGCTCGGAGCTCCTAAGGGCAGGGATCTGTCTGCCCCCTCAGCACACGGTCCCAGCCGGCAGCCCAGAGCCTGGCACGTAGCAGGTGCTCAGTGCCACGGATGGGTGACCTGAGCGCTCATAATGGGCAGGAGCCGAGCTAATCCCGCCTCTTCCTCTCACTCTCAGACACAGGAAGACCTGGGTTTGGTGAGGCCTGGAGCGTGCACACTTTGGAAGGCTCGCTTTAAGAAAAGAGACTGTAACTGAGTAGAAAAGCAGGGCCGGGATGGGGTACAGCAAGGACAGGTTCCTGAGTTCCGCCTTCTTTAAATTTATGATAAAATTCCTTCTGGTAGAGGGAATTATTTCTCCCCGTTTACAGATTAGGAAATGTGGGCTCAGAAATGATGTCACTTCACGAGCCAACAGGCTCTCACTATGTAGTTCAGGCTCCCTTGAGCGGCCCCTTGACCCTCCTGCCTCAGCCTCTGGGAGTGTTGGGATTACGGGCGTGCACCCTCACACCTTTCGGAACTCGGGTTTCTGAGCCCACGTTGTTATAAAAATAGTTGCTCCATCCTTGCTGAAGTCTGACTCCCTGTCCCCAGGCCCCAGCTCACCGAGGAAGGCGGACGGGGACACGGTGCCATTGCTGCGGGCCACCATGACGCTGATGCCGGTCTCCACGAAGGGCACGGAGAAGTCCACGATCTCAGACCGCTCCTCGTTGATGGTGAGGGAGCCAATGGCCATGTCTGCGCGCTGGTAGAACACCTGGGTGGAGGTGAAAGGACAGGGAACCTGGCTCAGGACCCTTCTCCCGGGCAGGCCACCTCCTTGCCCCCTCCAGCGCAAAGGGGCAAGCCCTAGCCTTGCCGCGACCCGCCACTATTTTTCCTGCCCTCCCTAAGATTCCGGACCCCGCCCCTTCCCCACGCTCCTCGGGCGTGTGGCCCCGCCCCTTGATGCCCACGCCCTCCTGTTGGCCCCGCCCCTGCTCTCGGCCCCGCCCCCTCACCTCCCCAATCATGCCGTTCCAGACGCCGTCGATCTTCTTCCCGTGTTTGCCGTTTGTGACCAGATAGAGGTCGTAGCTGAAGCCGATGGTGTGCGCCAGTCTCTTCAGAATGTCGATGCAGAAGCCCTTGCAGCACCGCTTTTCCGGGCGGGGGGCGTCCGGGGGAGGGCTGCGGGGAGCGAACAGGCTTGGGGAGCTTGGGGACCCCTCTCTCAGGCCCCCCCATGACGGGAGGGCATGGAGGGAGGGGCAGCGGAGGCTGACAGTATGGCTGGCCCTTCCCGGGGAAACTGAGGCACCCCTTGGTCACCACACCGGAGGGGCCAAGCGTTCGGGCTTCGCGGGAGGAGCGTTTTGAAGCTGCAGCTCCGGGGTCCTGGGCTGTCACCTGTGGGTTCGGTTGAGCTGGCTCCGGCAGGGGACCGAATCGCGGATGCAGGTGCCACTGACGGGGTCGGCAGGCTCCACGATCACAAAGGGCCTCTCCTCCAGCGTGGCCACCGTGAGGTGCTGCGTGTCGTCCACAGGCTGCAGGAAGCGGCCGTAGCGGGACCACAGCGGGTACTTGAGGCGGAGGGTCTGCTGCTCCCAGCTGCCCACCTTGCACGAAGAGAAGGACAGTCAGCCCTCCTGGGGCTCTCCGGGTACCGGAAAGGGAGCCGAGCTGGGCAGACCTCCTTCCACTGCTCAGAAAGTGCTGGCCCCGCTGCTCCTCTCCTTCAGACCTAGGAGTCAGCGCCGTCTCCCTCCAGGAAGCAGCAGCTCCTCCAACTCCATATGCAGGAGCCTGGGCCTTCAGTTTGGTCCTCCCATCAGGACCCCGGGGGGCCAGGCCCAGCCTGCTCCCTCAGCCCCGGGGGTCCAGCCCCGCACCGCCACATTCGGGGACCTCGAGCCCTCCTCTGCCAGGACCCAAAGTCCCCCCGCTCCTGTGCCCGGGGACTGGGCTCTGTGACTCACCACCTCCCAGGTCCTGTCTCTGGTGAGGGAAATGACCACCAGGGACGGGTTCACCAGGAAGCCGTCCTCATTGAAGGAGTAGTCCCGGTTATCCCAGGTGATGTTCGAGAAGTACCTGCCCGGGAGAGGGGTGGTGAGGAAACGTGGCCTGGGCAAACCTCCTTTCCACTGCCCGGTCCCGGCTGTTGAGGGGAGTCTCTGCTCCTTCACCCCCAAAATCTCAGAAACACACCCTTCCTTGGCTGCCCTGTGTCCCCCCAGCACAGCACCCCATGCCCTTAGCTTGGCGCTGAGGACCAAGAGGCCCTGAATGCCTTACCTCCACCTGCCTCCCAAGCCCCATCTCTGATCGTTTCCCACCCGAAAACTTCTGCATTTTTTGTTTTGTTTTGATTTGAGGTAGGAATCTCACCAAGTCACGCAGCTGCCCAGGTTACGCTCAAACTTTTTGTTTGTTTTTGTTTTTATTTTTCTCCGGTACTGGGAACCGAACTCACGACCTTGCGCTTGCCAGGCAGGCGCTCTTGCCGCTGAGCTAAATCCCCAGCCCCTGCTCAAACTTTTTGATTCTCCTGCCTCAGCCTTCTAGAGTGTGGGATTACAGTGAGCACCACCATGCCTGGCTCTGCTTGTTTGAGACAGGATCTCACTAAGTAGTCCTGGCGGGCCCTGTACTTGCAGTTCTCCTGTTTCAGCCTCCCAGGTGCTGGGATTACAGGTGTGCGCCACCACGTGTGGCTCTGAAAACCCTTTCTGATGGAATCAACGCTGAGTGCAGTGTCCTCTGAACATGTCAATTTTCTTTTTTAACCTCTAGGCATTTATGGCTGCTGTTCTCTCTGAAACCTTGCCTTGACCAACTCCCTCATGTCGCAGACTCAGCTCAAGTGTCCCTTCTGCTGGAAAGAGGCCCCCTGGAGGGCTCTGACTGCCCTGATGTCTGCAATGTCACATCGTCCACCCAGTCATTGGGCTGAACCTTCATCTCCCTCCCTCCATCCTCAAGCCCCGCCCCCTCCTGCTTTCCACACAGCCCCCTGGACCTCACCCCTGCTTCCTGCCTGGCCTCCAGCCTCCACCTCTGCCGCAGTCTGAATCCTACCCAGCCCCAGTTGCTCCATCCCTCCCCTGCTCATGGTAGTGCAAGGTTCCTCAGGGCCGTGGCACAGACTCCAAGCTCCCCAACCTGGCGCTGGAGGCAAGGGCTTGGCCGTGCGCAGCTCTGTGGCTTCATCACCGCCACCCCTAATTCTGCTGCTCTTGCCTGTTCTGAACTACTGGGGCCCCATCTTCCTACCCAGCTGTCACGCTGGATCTACGCCATGCTGTTCCCCACCTTTGGGGAATGCTAGCCCTTTCTGGTAAACTCCTCAACCTCTCTAATTCCGGCTCCCAAACAGGTAGTTCCAACCCCAGGACCTTTACACCTGCTGCTCCCTCTCCACTGGGATCTCCCAATGCTTGGTTCTTTTATCCATTATTTTGTTTGTTTTTTGAGACAGAGTCCCACTACATATCCCAGGCTGGCCTTGAACTCACTGTGTAGCCCATGCTGGCCTGGAGCTCATGACAGTCCTCCTGCCTCAGCCTCCTGGGTGCTGAGGTCACAGGTGTGCCCCACCACCAAGCCCAGTATTTCCATTTTTTAACCTCTGGCTTTCACTTACTCAGAATGGCCTTTGCTGACCATCCTACTTAGCCCAGCCTCCCCTCATCACCCTTCCTGTGCCAGCCCCTTAGCACCAGCTGATATTTTCTTTCTTTTCTTATTTGTTTGCTGCTTCTCTCCCCATTAGACTGTAAGCTCTGTGACAGCAGGGACTGTGTTTCACACTAGTCCTCTGGGCCTACACTGGCGCTTGGCACACAGGATATTTTCAATAAGTAAAAGGCGTTTCGATGAATGGATGAATGGATCCATTCAGTGGGGCAGTGTCCTCCTCAGGTCTCAAGTGAGGGGTTTGCTCCTTCTGGAAACCTCTCCAACCACCTGAGCAGCTGAGCCCTGACTTGTGTGTCCTACTTTTAGAAGGCTGACCGGAACCAATCAGCATCTTCTCTCTTTCTCTCTCTCTCTCTCTCTCTCTCTCTCTCTTTCTCTATCTTTCTCTGAGACAGGGTCTCACTATGTAGCCCAGGCTGGCCTCGAACTCACAGTGATCCTCCTGCCTCAGCCTCCCAAGCCCTGGGATGACAGGCATGTGGCACCAGGCGTGGCCTGAGCGTCCTCCCTTGGGATGACATTTCACTCTGAGATTGGAGGGATGTGCGGTAGCCAGGAAAGGGTGAAGTTTTAGGGAACAGAGATTCTAGATAAAGAATTGAACAGCCCCACGGGAGGCACGCCTGAGAGAAGAGCGAGAGAGGCAGAAGTAAAAAAAGATCAGAAAGAGATGAAAGTGGCTGGCCCTAGGCTTAGCCTCCATTCCCGATCTCTGTGTTTCTGTGCATGTTTATCTTTCCAATAAGCTCCTTTTCCCCTAGGAACCCGAGGCGAGACTCGGTTCCTTGCAACCAGGAACATCCTGGCTTAGACAGAGCCCTCCCGCTGCTCCCGCAAGGCTGGTGCTACCTCCAATACTGCAAGCGCCACACCGTGCTGTCATTACGCCTGTCCCTCCTGCCCCTTCTCCAGGACCCTGCATCCTCTGAAGAAGCCCGTGCCTTATTAATCTCTCCGCTCCCAGCACCCAGCATGAGCCCTCGGTCCTGGAGGGTGTCCTGGGACCCAGATTCCGCAGCAATTTTCTGTTCTCCTCCCCTGGGTCTTCTTGCCCACCCATGACCTCGTCCCAAACTCAGCTCATTTCAGGATTAATGGCCTCTCCTCCCACCTTTCCATCACCAGGCTCATCGGTTTCCTATGCTGGAGGTGCTGTTTTCCACCAAAAAAATCATAATGTGTACACTGGACACAGGGGTATCAAGCTAAGGCTGACTCTTCCCAGCCTTCCTGCAGCTAACCCAGGCCATGTGCAGGGGTGGCATTCAACTTGTCTAACGATCAGTACAGTACAGGCACCAGCCAATCAGATGGAGACTGCTGTAAACAACCAGTACTGTGGCCCTGACCATGTGACTGCATTCTCACCCACAGGACACAAGACCTGTCCCTTCTACTTCCCTTAAAAGGAAACCGGTTGGCCTGGCATGGTGGTGCACGCCAGTAATCCTACCACTCGGGAGGCTGAGGCAGGAGAATCACTGCAAGTTCGAGGCCAACCTGGGTTACATAGTGAGTTCAAGGCCGTAGTGAGACCCTGTCTCAAAAAGCCAAAAAAAAAGGAAATTGCTTGCTTCCTACTTCCTTATCCTCTATTCTCATGAGCTGGGCCTATTCAGCATGCCCAGAACCCAGTGTGACAGTGGGGAGACACCAGAGCAACAAGTAGGTGGTTCTGGAACCCTGGAGATCTGGACCACTCGTTTCTGGGTTGTCATGTGACAGAGGAACCCAGTTCTACTTCTAGAAGCCACTGGATCATCGGGTCTTTTTGTTATTGAAGCTCAGTGTACAGTCTAACTAGGATCCAACCTAAAATGCTATCAATTGTAAGACGTAGCCAGGCTACACATAGATTGTGCTGCATGCCCATAATTCCAGTACTTAGGAGGCTGAGACAGGAGGATTACTGTGAGTTTGAGGCCAGTCTGGGCCCCTGTTGCCCACCCTTGGCTACATAGTGAGTTGGAGGCCAGCCTGAGCTATGTAGTGAGACCCTGTCTCAAAAAACACAAACAAACAAACAAGTGAAATATATATACATGGGCGGGGAATATAGCTCAGCAGTGCAGCGCCTGCCTGGCAAACTCAAAGTCCTGAGTTCAATTCTCAGTATTAAGAAAAAAAAAATATGTGTATATACATATATATATATATATCCATGATAAACATCTAATATACAATACATCTGATTTCAAAGATTTTAAAATATGAAGTATTGGGGCTGGGGATTTAGCTCAGTGGCACAATGCCTGCCTGGCAAGCACAAGGTGATGAGTTTGATTCCTGGTACCCGAAAAAACTAAAAAAAAAAGAAAAACCAAAACCAAAAAAATAAATAAATAAAATGTGAAATATTGCTGGGCATGGTGGTGCACGCCTATAATCCCAGCATTTGGGAAGCTGAGCAGGAGGCTCACTGTGAGTTTGAGGCCAACCTGGGCCCTGTAGTGGGTTCAAGGCCAGCCTGAACTACATAGGGAGACCCTGTCTCAAAAATAAAATAAAGGACCAGGCATGGTGGCGCACGCCTGTAATCCCGGCACTTGGGAAGCTGAGACAGGAGGATCATTGAGAGTTCGAGACCAGCCTGGGCTACAAAGTGAGCTCAAGGACAGCCTGAACTGCATAGTGAGACCTTGTCTCAAAAAGACCAAAATAAATAAATAAAAAAAACATGAAATATTATGCGCATTAAGTCATGAAATATAGTAATATACTCACATGTTCCAAACTACCTGATTTAGTCCCAGAAAAGAATCTCAGTTAAAAGGGATGGCTGAGAAATATGGTGAATGCTTAGATCCAGTAAAAGCATATTACCATTAATCCCCCTCAAATCTTGCTCCACTCTAGACACATTTAATTCAACACTTTTGCCCTACTAAGTGCAGGGGAATGGCAGGTTTGTAAGAACGTGCCAGTGCGTCCTCATTCGACACCTTGTGACTTCTGACTGTTCCCCAAACTCAAAATGACCAGAAAGGTAAACATCTTGGATCCATTCAGGACACGGAGGCAGCCACAACTGCACAACTGACAACGTTCATGAAAGAGGACTTCCAGAACTGCTTCAGAAAGAAGCAAGAATGCCAGGAGTAGTGTGTTCAAAGCAAGGGAGAGTGTTTTGAAGGGGGCTAATGGCAACATGTCTTTTATGGTACTAATTTTTTTTTTCCTTTTTCTTTTTCAAGAGAAGATCTCACTATGCATTTTAGGCTGGGCTTGAATTCACTATGTAGCCCAGGTTGGCCTCAGACTCACCGCGATCCTCCTGCCTCAGCCTCAATCTTCCTGCCTCAGTGATGGGATGACAGGCGTGCACCACCAGGCCTGGACCACCAGGCATGGCTAAAGTTTTAAAAAACTAAACATTCAACATATTTTTCCCATCACACTTCGTACACAGAAAGTATCCTGAGATTCAGACAGGTCATGGGACTAGGGTAGGGCGTGGGTTAGGTTAGGGCGCGGGCTCCCGCCTCCCCACGCCCCGTTCCCCAGCCTGGCTCACCGGTGCAGACTCTCCCCGCGGTGGGTGCGGTTCTGGGCGCGGCAGTCGTGGCCCAGCTCGGGCAGGAAGCCGTAGTCCCGCAGCAGGGCCTGCGCGCCTCTGGCGACCACAGCCACCCCAGCTGCCACACGCCGGGCCAAGTCGTCCCGCCAGCCCGCCGAGCGCACTGCAAACAGCCCTGCGGGCAGTGGGGCTCCTCCTGGCAGAAGAAGGGGCTCTCCGGGGGCCCCGGAGCCCCCGCCTCCGGCCAGCTGGGGGCCCACCATGAACCACACGTAGCCAGGCCCGGTGAGGCCGGCCTCCTCGGCGGCCCGGAACACGGGCTCGGCCTCCTCGCGCGCACAGAAGAGCAGGCGGATCTGCGCACTGACGCTGCGGAGCTGCGCGCCCAGCACCGCCTCGCCCGCGCCCGGGTCCAGCGTCAGAGCCCCGCGGTGCTCCCAGCCCACCAGGCTGCCGTCGGTCAGCACCTCGATGTAGGACAGGAAGGCGCGGTGGCCGGGGGCACGCGTGGTCACCGCCACGAAGGATGTCCAGTCGTACTCCTCCAGCACCTCGAAGATGACCTGAAGCTGCTGCTCGGTGGAGGAGCCCAGCTGCAGGAAGGTGGAGCCCTTCTCCTGCAGGGACGAGGTGGTCGTCAGCTTCCCGATGGGGGACCTCACACCCCAGCATCTGACTCTTCCGACCCGCAGTTCCCAGTGGCAGTGACCGGGCCCAGCTCTCAGCATGGCAGACTGACTAGCTGTTCGCCAGATCCATCTCCTTTCCTTCCCTGCACAGGCTAGACAAGCTTAGGTTTAGTCACATGACTGAGTTCTCTGGGGTCCACTTCTAAGCTCTCTCCCACCAGAAGCCAGGTGTGGTGGTCTGGGCTTGTAATCCCACCAGTTGGGAGGCTGAGTCGAAAAGATCTCTGCAAGTTCAAAGCCAGCCTGAACTACATAGTGAAACCCTGTCTCAATAAAGAAAGGAAGAAAGTAAAATAAAATGAAATAAAAAAGAATTATAAATGAAAAGACTCAGGGGCCGGGGATATAGCTCAGCGGCTTAAGCGCTTGCCTGGCAAGCCTGAGGTCAGGAGTTCGATTCCCGGTACCAAAAACAAAACAAAACAAAACAAGAAAAGACTCTCCCACATGAACCTTACACTCCTCCTGGTCTAAGGACAGGCTCAAAAGCCACAGAAGAGGACTCTCAAATTCTCCAGGATCCCAGAGCCACATAAAAGGGAGCCTGAGTCTCTGAGTCACATGTGGAGGGCAGCCAGCTCCAGCCACGACCACCTGTTTGGATTTTATATGAATGAGAAACAACTTACAGTCTTGGGTTGTGCTGCAGCTAACATCATTGTCATTAATACACTCAGCAACCACTGAGGGAACTACAACTCCCAGCATGCACCAAGAGGGACGGTTTCTCTGAGGGGCAAGAGACACTACACTCCCAGCATGCAGTGTGGGTACCCTGGCTCCAAGAGTAATGGACTTTTTCCTCTAATTTTTGTGGTACGTCCTTATCCCCTCCTTCTTTGTCTCCTTTACTGGTCCCTCTTTCTCAGCCAGAATGCTAAATTCTTTTTTTCTTTTTCTTTTTTTTTCCAGTACCGGGAATCGAACTCACAACCTTGCGCTTGCCAGGAAGGCACTGTGCCCCTGAGCTAAATCCCGTCCCCCCTTTTCTTGTACCAGGAATTGAACTCAGGACCTTACGCTTGCCAGGCAGGTGCTGTGTCACTGAGCTATATCCCTGGCAGAATGCTAAATTCTAAGTGTAGCATCCCCGCTTCCCCTCTTCTTTTCTTTTCTGTCCTCTGGTTAGGTCATCCAGCCCAAAAGGCTTAAGTTCTGTCTCCCTACACACTGTCCATCCAATATGATAGCCAAGTGTATCCATTCAACTTTGAATTCATTAAAAGTAGGTAAAACTGAAAAATTAGTCTTCTAGTCCTGCTAATCGCTCATTAAGAGCTCAACAGCCACATGTAGCTTGTGGCTGTCTTACTGGACAGAGCGGAGATGCAGTAGGCCATCTTCATCACTGCAGAAAGTTCTGGATGTGACAGGTTATCCTGATGGCTCCTATTCCTAGCACAACCATGAGCTCCCGACAAACCGATCCCCCTGTCTAGTCAACATGGCCACTGGGATTTTCATGAAATTCTCCACACTAGCCTGTCAAAAACAGATTTGGGGAGGTGGTGGTACTGGGAATCGAGCTCAGGGTGGCTCTAACGCTGAAGTAAATCCTCAGGCCTTTTTATTTTTAATTTTGAGACAGAGTCCTGCTAACTTCTCCAAGCTGGCCTGGAACTTTTGATCCTCCGCCTCAGCCTCCCAAGTAGCTGGGATTACAGATTATAGGTGCTTGCTACCACGCCCAGCAAAAATGGAATTCTTGAGCTGCCCTACCTCCCTCAGACCTTCTCCCTGTCTTCCTTCTGTCCCTTTCTCAGACCCCCTTCCTTTCCTTCATGCCCACACTCAGGCCTTTTCCAAGCCTCAGTGTTACCGTCGAACAGAACCCCTGTGTGCCTGGTTTCCCCCTCCCGTCCCTCAGGCCCAGTCAACCCTCTCCTGGCTGCCTTCCCCTGAAGCCCCTGCCTGAGTTATTACAGCATCCTGTCAGGTTCCTCCAGGACCAGGTTTACTATCTGTAGCTTGTCTGTCTCTTCCCTTTATTAGAATTCAAGCTCCATAAGACAGGGACTTGTTCCCCCAGCTCTCAGTTTTATTCCCCAGAAGCTAAAGTGGCCCTGGCACAAAATCAGCCTTCCTGTGAGGCAGTGCAGACAGTAAGTCACACTAGGCCTGGCCTGCGGTTGTACATGCAGAGGACTCAAGGGCCCCCGGCGTGCAGTGGGACGCTGGCACCCCGCCCTTCAGCAGGTGGAAGCGTGTGCAGGGGACCACGTGCCTTGCCGTCGAGGGCGTGCAGACCGAGCTGTGAGGACCACTTTCTTCTATCCAGGGATGCCAAGGGGACTACAGTTCCCTGAAGGCAATGAGTTGTGTGCTGAGAGGACTACTGTCCAGCAGAAAGGGAAGTGGAATGGGCCACACGGAGCTGCAGCTGGCAGCATGAAGGGCGGCAGCTCTGGCTATCCTAGAGATGGCAGCCAGGAAATAGTGTGTTCCCCTCCTAGGTCCACAGCTCTGCCTACAGATCTCTGGACAACGTCATGCCAAGGAGAATGAGAAGGCTGGGCCAGAGGTCCTTCCCAGAAGGCTTTGGACAGGAGAACTACGAGTCCCAGCATGCAGTAATGACCCAGCCACAAAGCTGTCCGCCCTCACAGCAAGAAATTGGCCGATCGGGGCTCCACCCATTCAGGTGGCTCCATCCTCCAGCGAATCACACCGCTCATTCCCACTGGCCCCACCCTAATAGGCCCCACCATTTCTCAAGCCCCGCCTCTTGCCCCCCCCCCCAGTCCCCAGACCCGGCTTGCTCATTGATACTTGGCTGCTACGAGTCCACTACAGCTGGCCTCTCCTGCGCCTCTGGGAGGCAACCTCTCTGCAGGCCACGCCAGCTCCAGGCTCGCCTCCCTCTGCACTGCAGGCTCCTGGCTCTGACCTTTCATTGACTGGGCCTCCCCCGATGTAGGCCTTCACCTTGCTAGTTTCCACCCTCCCCAAGCCCTACTGCCAGACGCGCCCTTCCACCACAGAGAGGCCCCGCCCCTTCCCTGGCTGGGCGGCCCTGAAATCTCTCTTCCAGGCCTAGTTCTCCCCTTCCTCACCCACCGCTCATGGATGACCCTTCCCTTCTCAGACTCCTTTCGCTGGATGGCTCTACCTTCCTCGGTAACCTCTAGATTGCTCAGCTGGCCGGGCCTTCTGCAGACCGTGTAACTAGTTCCTGTCCCTGCCTTCGTGGACCGCCTTCCCACTAGACTTCGGCCCTTTCTGACCCCGATTCCCGTCCAGCTGTCTCCTCGCCAATCCCGAATCCCGCTCCTGCCTTCCATGCCTCACCTGCAGAGATGGGGCCTACGTGCTCCCCAAGCTCTGGTCCTTGCCCGCCACCCGCCTAGGCCCTACCTGGGTCTCAGAAGGGAACCCAGGACGGCCCCGCCCACCAGAGCCCCGCCCCTTTAGAGCCCCGCCCCCGAGCGCACCTTGGGCGTGAGCACGAGCGCGGCGCCGCCGTGCACGGCCACGATGGGCAGCGAGGTCTGGGCGGACAGGAAGTCGAGGATGGGCGCGACGGCGGGCGCGCGCGAGTCATCCTCGAAGACGACGCCGTGCACGCGCAGCCCCGACAGCAGGTCGCAGAGCTGCAGCACGAGGCTGCGCGG